CAATAGGAAAGGTGCACCCTCGCGGAAATGGGCCGGCCCATATATGTGACAAGTTTTTTCGGCTCTTTGGAATGTTTCCTCTGAGTTTTTATATTTCTTGATTACTTTTACTGGTTTTTCTTTTTAATTAACTACTTTCTTTTCATGTTCTTTTTTATTTTTATCACCCCATTTCCCCTTCTTGTCTTATTTTTATGTTTCTTTTCATTTCTCCATTTCCAATTCATGATTTATTTCTGTACAATTTTTAACTCCCTTAAAATACATTAATATTTTTCAAATTCATAAACACTTTTTAAAATCTATGTATATTTTTTAATCAATGAGTATTTTGTTGTATTCATGAATTGTTTTAGTTCATGATTATTTTCAAAATTTATGAACATCATTTAAAATCCGTTAACTTTTTTGAATTTGTGAAGTTTTTTATATCCATGAAAAACCGGAGTGGATTTTTCTCCTCGAGAGGAACCGACAGTTGCTGCTTTATTTGAGTGACCACAAAAAAGAGAATGGAACAAGACGAGCGAGCGGAGCAGAGCAATTAGAGTTATTGGGTCACGCCTATATACCCAACCGTAGGCGATGTAGCGACATTCTGCCACAAGAAGCGTGGGATAGGAGTTTCCATCACCCGGATGGTAGCGAACAAAAGTGGCAGATGACATACGCAAACCCTATACAACGCTGAAGGTGCTAGTTACAACCTTATTCACTTTGTTCGGACTGCGTTTTCTTTTATCTTTTTTGTTTCTTTTTGCGTTTTGGTTTGTTTTCTCTATTTGGTTTGCAAACCTTTTTTCAAGTCCGTGAACATTTTTCAAGTCCATGAGCATTTTTAAATTCGTTTAGTGAACTTTTCCAAATTCATGGATTTTGTGCAAATGCATAAAGTTTTTTTAGTTCTCAAACCTTTTGAATTTCATGAACATTTTAAATCCACAAAAGAAATCAAATTTGTGGACTTTTTTCAAACCAGTGAACAATTTTTATTTTACGGAATTTTGTAAAACTAAAAGAAATACCTCATTTTTTCTGCTTGGACCGGCAACTGACCAGTGAAGGAGCAAAAAAAACGAACAACCCGTAGATAGGTGCGGCATAGCAACTAATAGGAGGTTACCCCTTGTAGGGACATGTAGGGGTCGGTTTTGGTGCCCTAGAAGCACATCAAGTGGTGCGTCCAGCCGGTGCCACATGTCGCATGCTGGCCGCTTCCTCCGAAATTCTTTATTTTTATTTTTCTACACGTGTTTTCGGGATTCAGATGTTTTTTCGTGTTTTATTGGGATTTTTGGTTTTTGCACAGTTTTTTTCTAGATTTTCGAGGGGGGGAGGGGGGGTTCATGATTTTTTTGCATGAAAAAATAATAATTTGCGCTTCCACGAGAAACACAAATTTGATTCTCATGGAAGCACAAATTCGCTTCTCTGAGGAGCACAACCGCACTTCTCGAAAAGAGAAAAAAAGTGCTTCCACGAGAAGCATATATTTGGTTCTTTTGGAGTCACAGATTTGCTTTCGTGAGAAGCATATCAGAAAGAGAAAAAATCTATGCTCCCACGAGAAGCACATATTTTTTTTGACAGAAGGACTGTAAGGGAACTCCCTACAGTATAATTGGTGCAACAGCCCAAATTGCAAGTGCAGTGCCTTGAACCTGGGTGGGTGGGAAGGCATCAGCCCCTTCCCACCACTAGGCTATGCCTTAGTCTGCGGAGAAGCACATATTTGCTTCTCGTCGAGGCACCGATTTGCTTTCACGGGAGCACAATCATTCCTCTCGGAAGCAAAAAAAATTGTGCTTCCACGAGAAGCACATGGAGGCATAGATTTGCTTTCGCATGAAATACAATTGTGCTTCTTGAAAATGAAAAAAATACCGTGCTTCCAGCTCCAGGTTTGATCTTTCATTTATTTCTTCATGTGTTTCTTTCTCGTTTTTTAATTATTATCTGGTCTTCGATATTTTCTGTTTTTTTGTGAAAAAAATCATTGAAATATATTGACATGAGATCTACTTTAGAAAGTCTCAACACGAGAAATCGAACGGGGAAAATGGTTCGCTACTTAAACATACAGTTCAAGAGATAAAAATATTTTGAATGAATGGATCTAAAAAAAGGAAAAGCTGTCAGGTTGAGACAAGTGACGCATATGCAATGTGCCAGCTGTAAGCCCCGAGAAGTTGGAAGTGACCTTTGCAGAGTAACCCTTAACAAGTGATTCCTTGGTGCGAGAGTCAGTGGGTTGGCCCATGTCGCACGTCCTTTTTTTGGCCATAAGAATTGGCTACTATAGGGAACCGTGTTAATGCAGCGATCTAGGTTACTACATCGGATCATTTTGAGATTCGAGAGTATTTCTGAAATGTGAACATATTTTGAAATTTCAAACTCTTTTTGAAACACAAACATTTTTTTAAATAAATTGGACATTTTTTAAATTGTGAACAAAATTTTAAAAGTTTTCAGACCTTTTTTTCAAAAGTCGAACATTTTTGAATCTGTGATCAATCTTTGAAAAACTAAACATTTTTTAAAATTTCGAAACATTTTCTGAAACCCTATTTTTTTAATTTGTGAACAAATTTTATAAAGCAGGAACCTTTTTTGAAATTATCGAACATTTTATGAATTTTGGAATAATTTTATAAAATAATATTTATTTTTTTGAAAAAAGGAACATTTTTAAAATCCAAATCTTTGATATTTTCCAAAATTTTATTTTTAAAATAAATATAAACAAGCAAAATAACTTTGTTTAAAAAAAGCTTATCAAAAGACAGAAGAAAAATCTTTTCAGGCTTATAAGCCAGCTCGCTCGCTCTCATGTTTCACCCACCAGTTTTCTGTTTTCCGTTGGTCTAGTAGGGAAAAGGCCGGCTGTTTTTTTTAAAGTTTGATGCACTTAAAAAAATCTAAAAATTCAAAAGTTCACAAAAAAATGCTCCCGAATTCCAAAAGGGATCATAAATTTGACAAAGTTCATATATTTGAGAAAAGTTGCCAAAGTTGAAAAGAAGTTCACAATTTTTTTTAAAAAAAATCATGGATCTGAAAAAGGTTCAAAAAATTAAATAAAGTTCAAAAAACTGAGAAATGTCAAAAAAAAGTTATTGAATTTGAAAAAACTTCGTAAAAGACCAAGGAAAAATTGAAAAAAGTTCACGACTTGATAAAATTTGTTATTTTGAAGAAAAAAAATGCGAAACTGAAAATAGTTCATAAATCTAAAAAAAGATTTTAAACTTGAATGAAAGGTCACATATTTGAAAAAAAGTTCACAGGTTTTGAAAAAGGTTCACGAATTTGTAAGGAAATGTTCATAGATCCGAAACAACTCTGTGAATTCGAAAACTTCATGAATTTGACAAAAATGGTTTATTTTGCAAAACCGAAATGTTGAGAAATTTGAAGAAGGCCATGAATTTGAACAAATTTTGTGAATTAGGAGAGGAAAAAAAAGAAAAGAAAAACCAGCCTAACGGAAAAACAATAGAAATGTAGGCTAGGAAATGCGCTGCTTTTTTTCTTGAGAGTTACATTTTCCACATAAGAAGAGAAAAAGGAAGCAAGTGGGTACATCAAGTAACCCGTTCCAGTTGATTACTACACCTTGAAGTAATCCATGAGGGTTGGAGTTTGAATCTCCCACGACGCACATTCTCTGAAGATTAAAAGAAAGAAAATAAAAAGAAAATGGGCCAAGCCCATGACAGAGGGGGGCGTGCGTCGGTTTGTGGATATGCCTTTAAGTGATGCTCTCATCACCGCCGAATAGGGTTTAAGATAAACAACTACTCCTTCTGTAAAGAAATATAAGAGTGTTTAGATCACTAAAGCAGTGATTCAAACGCTTTTATATTAGTTTACGGAGGAGTAGGATTCTTGAAAAAAGATATGCGTTCAAGATTCTGGCAGAGTTTGGGAGGAAGTCCGATCTGAAAGAATCGGCGGAAAGGACTGGGCCCCAAGGTCCTGTAGCACGTTCTATCCGCTGAATGGGCCGGCCCATCTCGTTCGCTCGCGCCCCTGTGCGTTTCAGAGACATTTTGCCGCCGCGAGCGAATTCCGATTCTTTTGGCGGATCCCCAATCGCACCTCCGCCTCCAAATTCAGTCCCCGTCGCCGCCTCCCTTTGGCTCTCTCCCTCCTAAAAATTCCGCAAATCCGTCGATCTCCCTCCGTTCCCCATTTCGAACCCCGCCAGAAAATCTCACCCCACACCCGCAATGCCGCCCGCGCGCCGCCGCCGCCGCACCGCCCCCGCAGCCGGCGACGACGGGCCTGCCCCCTCCTCCTCC